AGATTCAAAAGTTGTCCCAACGAGTTTGTTCTCCATACCCTCCCTGCTGCGTTGCATTCTGTTTACGGGTGCACCCTTCAGAAAAGGTTGTAAAAAGCTAGGAATGTCATTTGTACACAACTCCTCGTCTTGCTCCATAATCACTTCTACAGTCGAACCCATCCTGCGGCGTCCTCGGTAAGCAACACCGTCGCTGCTGCTTGGACCTCGCGCGAATACTAAGCCTCTCTCTTCCAAATCAGACATGCATTGCACATAACTCTTGAGACCGGAAGCCAGAGTCTCACAATACTAAAGCAGTCCAAGCGGCACCTCGATGTTACTCTGCTTTGGCAACTGCGCCCACGATGTCGTTTCAAAGGCGCTCAGGTGAAATTGACCGCCGTAGCCATCTGAATCCTTACTTCCACAGGGCTAGACGATTTCTGCGATGAGGTACAAGTACTTTGCGATGACGGTGTCAGGCAATGCTTTTTTATGGCATTCTGAGCCTTTTTAGTTTATCTAACGGTGCTCCCTACAACGGTTCGCACACATTCTCCACAAACTAAATTCCGAACTTTTCAAGCTCTGTTGCGATTGTCTTGCCAGAATAGGCGGTGATGCTTTGGAGGATGATGGAAAACCTGGTTTTCTAAAGTTACCACAAACGAGCTACTGGGTCTGTGTGTTGTCTAAGGTAGGAGGCAATGAAAGAGAAAACAATAGTGCGATGCATGAACTTCGCTGTTGCCGGCGCTGGACGAGTGGCAATGGTATGGGGTTAGTGTTGGAATCGCAAAGCAACTGAGTAGCACAATCTCATCAGGCGTATCAGTTTGGACGACGATCCGTCATCCGTTGTTGTTGTTTCACTACATATCGCCATCTACTGAATCGTTGGCTGCACGGAAGTCGATAAAGCAGATTGTTCTGTGTTCCAATACGGGTTTCACATATCAGACATCCTTCCCATCTAGGGCCTCGAAAAGTCGACGTCTTTAAACGTTCAGTGGAAGCTGTGATGGTATATATTTCCGTGTGGTGCAAATTATCAAACGGGGTGCATTTCCGAAGTCGCCACCGTTGGTATTATGTTCTAGGCTTCCTGGCATCTCTACAGAGTAGCGGTTGCCATCAACATGGGATGAGCGTGGTAGTCTAGTGAGCTTCCAAGTCAAGACGCTTTGGCAAGTGCAGAAGATGCTCCGCGTTTTGATAACCAATTTCCTTTCAAAGTGAGGCACACCACAGATAATCATTTTAAAACTTAGTTCAGCGCTAGTCTTCTGTTAACAAGTGATGTTTCCGAGCCAACAAATATTGAAATGTTTAGGATGGAGTCGGCCGAGGGTGTGTTCAGCGGAACCTAAGCCGCGTCCCTAGGCATGATCTGCGTTTTTTCGCTGAGCAAGGTCAGCTCGAACGGCCTAAATGTATTCCAGTTGGTGAAATGTTTTTCTGTCGCCTAAGTAGCTTGTAGGTTGTCGTTTTTAAGTGTCGTAAACGCATATTCAAAGTACTAGCCCAAAGCGAGAGTAGTGTGCGTGACAACATGTAAGTGGTCGTAGTACCGATCTTTGACTAACCGCTCAGATGGTATTGTCAGGGCACAGTCTGAAGTACCGAAAAAATTGATCGGATCATTTTCAAGGCCAGATTACAAAGCACTCGAGGTATACCTATGAAACAAAGGCTTCTTCGGCATTTGGGCTAGTGTAGTCCTGTCTTGGCCATAACTGTCCACCGGTCCCCCAAAATCAATACGTTTGGGTCCTTAATATGAGACTCAAACAAGTAGGAGGTGTCTATATGGTAGCCATGCAAGGTGTGCAAAGTAAAGACTTGATGTCCGATGTCAAACATCAAGTAAAGAGCTAGTCTCTCGTTTCCAGACCCTCAAATAAGCCTACGAATGGTTCGCCGCTTTGGGTGGGAGCTATTGATGTGGTGTGATATGTTCATGGAGCCTCATGGGAGTCTGTTTCAAGAAATCCACCATGCTATGGGACCTTTTTGTTCGGGGACACTCTCCCCATCTAGTTTGCTCTATAAGACTGCGGAAGTGTGGGGACTTTCCAGGAACTGATTGAACAACACCGCCATCGTGGCTGTTGGATTCTGATGGTAATCTCATCTTCCAACTCAGCCGGCGCTGATTTGTGACCAGGCTATTGTTGGCTTGTATTTCCCTAAAGGGTTGCACAACGTATCGCCAGTCAGTTCATGGTGCCCGACACCCTCTTCCATTCTCGTTCATTTTCGTGCGGGAATCTCCGTCCCAAGAAGGCAGTTAATAGACTTTCTCAGAAGAGAATATATGGTAGCTAGTTTTATGGGTGTATATCATTGGATTGCGAAGAATCACTCCACGCAAACAAGTCTTGTTGATTCATTTTGCGAGTAATCCCTTAACTGTTGTACTACGCCTAAACGTTTGCACAGCAGAATAGATAAGCAAATAACCTCTCGTTGAATTCAGGAGATCTGTTCCGCATTCAGTACTCCGTATCAAATGGATCAACTAATGTTTCTTGCTCGGGCTTTGTTTCCTCTTTCGGTCGATATAAATTGCCTCTAAAAGGCGCGCCTCGGTCATACACTTCAAGCCGCTCGGAACAAGCTTCACTCGCTTCAGTTTACTCTTCGGGTGTCGGTATCTGCTACTCAGGAGTTGTGCTTAGCCCCTGGGCTGAATGCGCTTCAGTTGGCTGGATCCCACGAGGTGGTCCTGTTTGCGCTGTCCGGTTGGCTAACTCAGTTAAGATCAATGAAAATCAACCCGACAAACGGCTTTCATTTGTTGTTTCAGCATATGCGCCGGCAGACCGCAGCTCTGTGGCTGAGAGATGGCCTCTATTGAGATTTATCACGGCCGCTTTTGTCAGTTAACCATCCGCGGACTCAGTCGGACCATGCGGCAACCAGCTACCGGTGCAGAGTCTCAGTACTAGACTCATCTCCTTCGGAGTACACAAATTGACTCTGATTGTGGTATTGCTTGGGTAGCGTGTCGGTTCGCCTCCTTTCGGGAACATGCCGGTTGACACAGACCTTCAGTTTACCACCTATTAAACATATCTAAAGTCCAATAATATCGAGCTGAGTTGGTTGAGAAGCCTTTGGAACTAGATGGACGCGGAGCACTTTTGTAGAAAGACGAAAAAAGCCACACACAGCTTTTGGAGCCACCCGTCCGAGGTCGCTTGCGCTCATTTCGTCACCATCAGCAACTCCCATTGATCCCAGGGAAACTGTACCACCAACATTCAACTGTGGTGGCACACACATATCTCTCAAACGATGAACACTGAAGCTCCAATGGACTGACAGAGAGCGCTGGTGGATAGCGAAAGCCTGAGAAACAGAGACAGATTTTACAGCGTGAAGCACTCTCATCCAGACCCAACTAATCTGACCAGAAGGGCTCTTCAACTCATTCACGGAACTGTCGCCTTCAGCGATGGCCTGAATACGGAATAACGGTTCAGCTGACTCTTATTAAATCACCCTCCGGAAGCATCACAAATCCAAGCCTCTTACTTGCTGAACCGATCATTTAGGAAAATATGCTAATTNATGCTAATTTTCTGGGCAGATGCATAAGTCCCAAAGGACTGGGAGGATGAAATTAATTCCCCAGTCAAGAAAGCCACTTCCGATATTTGTGACGCCAGAGTGACATTAGTCTGGCAATTAAGACTAGAGAGTATAGTGTTGTAGTTCGGTATGCTCCATCGCATGGACGTAGAGAAGATCCCAGAGACTGCGTTTGACCATCATTGCATCCGAAGCGCTGTGCTGGTCTGATGAAAACACCAGGTGAGTACTGCTGCGGTACACCAAAGGTTTTTCAGAAGTAGTAACTCTCCCTCGGTAGATCAGCTGGTCACACTCCATAAGTTACGCTTGTTAGACCACGTGTTTCAAATGTCAGAGAACCGTTTGCCTCGTGTAGCCTTCTTCGCCCAACTACGCACCTAATGACGAAGACCCGAGGACGGTCAGCGCATGATTTTGTTAACGAAGCTTGAAAACCCTCACCTGTCAACTGTAACTGCCGTTTCCCCGGATGTGGACCGCGGAATGAGGTGGACCAGTGGCGAATGACCTGGACGTGACTGTTTTAAAGAGCCGATTGTTTAGCTCTCACATTCCCTGTCATATCGCACAAACAGAATAGTCTAGTGGACTGAGTGGATCATCGTCTCCAAAAATCACCATCATCTCTTAATCTTCTTATCCTGTGTTGCAATTGAGCAATTGTACTTCGACATACCTTTGTAGCTGAATAACTGAATTAACTGAATTGGTCTGAACTCATTTCTCAAGACACCTATCCCCGACCGAGGCGTTTAAGGATATTTGAGCTTGACGCGACTCGTTTGCCCTTTCGACCCTTACTTCACTTGACTTGCTTGCTGTGCGCGTCACGTCCAGTCTTAACATTTTGTTACACTCGGAAACCGTTTGTTCAGCAGCGACTAACTCGTTCTCCTGATGTGATGACGAATAATGGAAAAGGGTTGCAGAATGACCAGATGGGTCAATGAACCAGAGAGATGATTTTGTCGGGTAGTGATCTAAGGTCAAGGTGGTATTTCAACCATGACTTACTCCACATTGACATAAGGCTCAAAAAGTGTAGTGGGAACGTTTCATACTATGTTCTTCCATCCTTAGTTGTCGCGAGTCTAAATCCCCTGTTTTAGATCGTGGACAATATTTTCGTGAGGCCTGTAAACACTTTGTTGATTTTCTCCGGAATCATTCTTGAGGTGGGTAAAAGATCTTGTTCATTCAGTTTCGACATCTGTGAACTTGTCCAGGAGATGTAGCGGTGTAGTTATGATGATGCAGTCAACAGCTTCCCAGAACTTTCGTCACTTCAATTTGTAACTGGCATTCTCATTGAATTTTCCTAAACTTTGGGAAAAAGAGGTGAAAGAAAGCCAAACATAAAAATGTCTACCTCAAGCGTTTGTTGTTGAGCAACTTATCCATTTTTGATTAACTTTCAGTGGAGCCTTTTGTCTGGTTTCCTGTCGAGCTATAAAATCAGCTATCTGATCAATGTGTTCGCTGTGGCCTTCATGTATGCATGTTATGCAATCGAATACCGGTGGCGTCAAGTTCCAGGTAAGAATATATTGTGCTGCGAAATATTCCGTTTTCCCCTTTTTTATTCACCTCTACTTCACTCGATGGACTAGAGCTTCACATTTCATTCACTCATCTCGTCAAAGTTTTGTCCATAACGTAGTCCACCTCTAGGTGGTGTTAGTTTCGTGAAACGCGATCCTCGGAACTCGACGGGACCACGCTTAGAAGGGTAAACTGAGAGTGGATGCCGGAAAATGATCGACATGTCCACATCGCAGCTTCTTCTGTCAGAAATAGAAGTTAGAAGGGGCTAAATTAGGGTTGATTACAGAGAAAGGAAAGTGCACATACAATACCCAGCTGACTGACGCGATACATCTGATGACATGTTGACTGTAATTCGGAAGTGAGACGTGCACCGCGCTAGACGGGGCGCCTAACCAGAGAGACGGTCGTCAGTACTTCAAAGGAAGGCGAAGAAGAAATACGATCTGTGTGGTTTCAGGACAGTGAATCTCCAACGGGGTAGAAATCAGACAAATGACGGCGAACCTCCCGGTAATGAAAACCCACCAAGAGAAACCACTGGCTGACTAGACATCTCGATATCCCCTGAAGATGTTTCTTAGAGGGGAGACCAACGTTTCACTAATAGGGGCAATTGTAGCAACGTCAAATGAGTTTTGTCACCATGAGCTTTTTATCAAATTTTAAATGTCCAAAACCCCAGTGTCGAAAGTTTCTGGTTCGATATTGTGTCCGATGAGTTTATGAGCTTTACGTGATCTGCCACTCAGAACCCCTGGGTCAGTTTTCTCGTCTTTTTTCTTGTAACAGTTGTGATCTGTAGCATGGGCGATGTTGATTGGCTGGAATGTTCCCAAATCTGAAGACCGTTTCTTCTTAGGATCTTCCAGTCCGCCGACCAGCTCAAATGGCTGATTTGGGCCTAACTCATTCAGTCGGGTAATTTAGATCAGTGCACATTCACTATCTACAAAGTATCTCACTTGACTTGGCCACCTAACCTCTTTCGGTATAGGCTGTCGACACCTCTTGTCATGCTCTTTTATGCGGAGCTGTTTTTACGAAAACCGTTGGTGACAGGATCTTAATGACGAACCTTTTCGTCTAACTTTTTCGTCCTGCAGTCAGCCACAAACCGAATCACTAAGTCCTACTCCACTAATAACCATTTTAACGCTAATCGACCAGTAGAAATACGAACAACTTTACAAAATCAATGGTTAGGACAAAATATTGGGAATTCCTAACTGAACGATTGTAAACCCATAGGAATAAATCAGCTTATGACCTAATCACTGGATGACCTACCCTGAAAAAGCGGCCCGTCGAATCTGCACACCCAACTGAAATTTCCTCATGTGACTATTTTGGATAAATATACATATCTCGCGTGTGTATATAAACTATGTCATATCAGCTTATCCAGTTGTAAACGAGGACTGTTTGTTCACGAGTTCTTTACGAACCTATTCGGATTTCACCTCAGCTTACTCCAGCTTTATCTGGTCGCACCATAGCTACGAGTTTTCCTGCTACTGGCAACGTCATCCTCATAGGCAGTAGATACTGGCAGTTAGCTTCGGCACTACCTGTGAGAAAACGGGATATCTCGTGGATGGCTGCGTTATCCACTTCCCTCACACATGTTCCACATGTATCGAGGGTACGTGGAATGGAATATGGGTGAAGTAAATATTTTTATTGATAAAATGACAGTCATTCAGCTGTAACGCCCTTTCGGTGCCTAGCTGCCATGCCACCTGAAGGAAGCATGAGGGCTGGGTACTGCCAAGTTTCTCAATCCTAGACAAAGGAAGTCGAGAGACACAGGTCGGGTTTGAACCAAAATGACAGTCAGCTGTAACGCCCTTTCGGTGCCTAGCTGCCATGCCACCTGAAGGAAGCATGAGGGCTGGGTACTGCCAAGTTTCTCACTCAATCCCAAAGGAAGTCGAGAGACACAGGTCGGGTTTGAACCACGGATCTTCCACCGAGTACAATCGCCCTCTAACCACTTGAGCACGAATTTTTATTACTCACAGATGTAGTAAACAAGGAAGGGAGGGCCAATGGTTAGAGACCCCTTGTGAAAATGTTGGACGTCAAATTGGTTAAAAACGTGGGGCGACCCACATCACTTAGAAGACAAATGGCAACCAAATGTGGGGCGTCGTGGAAGTTTGGACGAATCATCATCGTCATCATCGACATCAGTGTTCAACACCGATGCTTCACTACCGTACAGTTTGGACGAATGGATTTTAATCATGGTCTTGAAAGTTCGACAAGAACAAGAACTTGGAAAACTAGAAGAGGTGATCATTCTCGGAGAATAACAAGAAGCAAAGGAGTTGTGTCCTGCAGTGTGGAACTGTAATTCCATACGGGTGACCTGGGCGACGTAGGCGAGTCGAGTAACTGATCAATTGTGGTAGTGAGTTCGACTGATCACTTATTGCGGTAGTGGGAGTTCTGGAAACATTTACGTAATTCACTTATTCGCTGGCTGCCTACATCAGAATTTCAGCTGACACAGGAACGAAGGGAAGCAAAAGATGCTGTGGAACCGCTTCTCGAATTGTGCTATAGAAAACAATCATCGTCATCGTCATCACCAGCTGCCGTACAGTGCCACAGTTCCGTTCACCGATGATTTTGGGGAGACTGTCAGTGGCCTCTCAAGTGGGGGATTGAGAAGGGAACCATGCATTGAAGGCAATAGGTTGGATGAACGAGCGCCATTGAGAGCGCGACTGGGCAATGTCTGACATTGTTTCTAACCATTGCTGTGCCAATCGCCCTGTAGCAGTTGATGGACACCGTCATTTAACGTTCGCTTGATCCACCCCGCCTGTACCTTAGCTTCCTCATCCTAACGCCTCAGACTCTGATATCGTAGCTGTTGAGACTTTGTGCTGTCTACCCGCTAGTCCAACTATCCTGAACGACACGTCTCTTTTCAAGAGTTTACTCGGCTCCTGTCTCTAGATTCAATTTGATGAAACCCAAGAAACCTCCTGTTAAAAAAGCTCATGCACTGGTTTCATCACTAGGTTGCTGTGGCGAGAATCGCTCTACCTCGATGCTACTGACTCCGTCAGAAGGGCCTGGTAAGATAACAGTGGTATCGCGCGCTATGTAACAGACTTCCCCCTTTGATCGGCGCAACTAGAGATTTATTGAGTTGTCACTTAAGGAGTAGGATGAACCACCTACCGCCAATGTGCGAACATGCCCACTTGTTCAGCCAGCATAGGCTGGATGACCACCCACCACAACACCCCCGCCTCGCTTATCAGATTGCCGGAGTTCAGCTATCGATGTGGCTGAAGATACGTGCGTCCGTCTTCAGTGTGGCTTATCTAAAATAATCTTACCGGAACAGGAGGATGCCTGATCAATTTCGAGTTATGGGGCACACACTTACCAGAGCCCAATTAGAAATTATCTTTCGTATATGTCAGCGTATTGTCTATTTTAATACAGGCAAGTAGGTGTAGTTGAGGATCTTCCACCGAGTACAATCGCCCTCTAACCACTTGAGCACGAATTTTTATTACTCACAGATGTAGTAAACAAGGAAGGGAGGGCCAATGGTTAGAGACCCCTTGTGAAAATGTTGGACGTCAAATTGGTTAAAAACGTGGGGCGACCCACATCACTTAGAAGACAAATGGCAACCAAATGTGGGGCGTCGTGGAAGTTTGGACGAATCATCATCGTCATCATCGACATCAGTGTTCAACACCGATGCTTCACTACCGTACAGTTTGGACGAATGGATTTTAATCATGGTCTTGAAAGTTCGACAAGAACAAGAACTTGGAAAACTAGAAGAGGTGATCATTCTCGGAGAATAACAAGAAGCAAAGGAGTTGTGTCCTGCAGTGTGGAACTGTAATTCCATACGGGTGACCTGGGCGACGTAGGCGAGTCGAGTAACTGATCAATTGTGGTAGTGAGTTCGACTGATCACTTATTGCGGTAGTGGGAGTTCTGGAAACATTTACGTAATTCACTTATTCGCTGGCTGCCTACATCAGAATTTCAGCTGACACAGGAACGAAGGGAAGCAAAAGATGCTGTGGAACCGCTTCTCGAATTGTGCTATAGAAAACAATCATCGTCATCGTCATCACCAGCTGCCGTACAGTGCCACAGTTCCGTTCACCGATGATTTTGGGGAGACTGTCAGTGGCCTCTCAAGTGGGGGATTGAGAAGGGAACCATGCATTGAAGGCAATAGGTTGGATGAACGAGCGCCATTGAGAGCGCGACTGGGCAATGTCTGACATTGTTTCTAACCATTGCTGTGCCAATCGCCCTGTAGCAGTTGATGGACACCGTCATTTAACGTTCGCTTGATCCACCCCGCCTGTACCTTAGCTTCCTCATCCTAACGCCTCAGACTCTGATATCGTAGCTGTTGAGACTTTGTGCTGTCTACCCGCTAGTCCAACTATCCTGAACGACACGTCTCTTTTCAAGAGTTTACTCGGCTCCTGTCTCTAGATTCAATTTGATGAAACCCAAGAAACCTCCTGTTAAAAAAGCTCATGCACTGGTTTCATCACTAGGTTGCTGTGGCGAGAATCGCTCTACCTCGATGCTACTGACTCCGTCAGAAGGGCCTGGTAAGATAACAGTGGTATCGCGCGCTATGTAACAGACTTCCCCCTTTGATCGGCGCAACTAGAGATTTATTGAGTTGTCACTTAAGGAGTAGGATGAACCACCTACCGCCAATGTGCGAACATGCCCACTTGTTCAGCCAGCATAGGCTGGATGACCACCCACCACAACACCCCCGCCTCGCTTATCAGATTGCCGGAGTTCAGCTATCGATGTGGCTGAAGATACGTGCGTCCGTCTTCAGTGTGGCTTATCTAAAATAATCTTACCGGAACAGGAGGATGCCTGATCAATTTCGAGTTATGGGGCACACACTTACCAGAGCCCAATTAGAAATTATCTTTCGTATATGTCAGCGTATTGTCTATTTTAATACAGGCAAGTAGGTGTAGTTGAGCTTCAAAGGTGACGGCCGTTATGATTCCCCGTCTGTTTGTGGCGCGGTCATTTCGGGAGTGTTCTCTGAATGATTTCGAGGCTTGGTTGCTCCAGGGGAATGTCGAATATGCATGCCATATTGGTAAACGTAGACCATTGCTTTGATATTATCCGATTGAGTTCTGACTAGAGTATGCCGCTACTATTATTCTGTTATCCAGACTTATATCCATTGAATTTCTTCCCCTAGGTCGAACATTTGAAGGCTACTTGGTTCATATCCTTGATCATTGGACTTATTTTGTCGGTTACGGATTGATTCTCGGCCTTGGCTGTCAATATTGGCCAGACTTCATCGGCTCTGGCGGTATGTTCTTGGCCATCACCTACCCTATCCTCGTCATTGGTGCCTTGGGTAGTCGATCGTCACCCAGCACCGCCACACTCACTTGGTTGGAAGCCAGATTGGCGCGTCTATTTCGTTTCGCCCTCGTACTATCTATGCATCCTGCCCTGTTCTGCACCAATCTGATCGTTCGTGGCTGCGTCGGGGCTGCTTACCAGTTGTGGTTTTGACTTGTAATCTTATTCTCTTATCCGATCAACACAACTACTTTCCTAGGATATGTCGCACGAGACTCACGTTACCTCCTACCACCGCGCATAACACTACATCGATTCGTGAGAGTTCTTATTTTCGATAAATTTCCTGTGAATTTCATGTACTCGCCTCCTTTGCTTAGTTAATCTTTTACCAGTCTTTCACATTGTGACATGACGCTGATTACGTTTGATGTGTTCACCGGTCACACAACTTACAAATGTTGTTTGTGTTTCAACTAAGCCCGAAAGCACTTTAGTCTGATCCGGTTTTCACGAAACTTCTTGTACAAATAATACACGGGTCACGTGGTTTCCGGCTATGTGCAACAAGAGAGTTACTGACCTTCATTTGTGTTTACGTTGTTTTTCTCTTCGGACGACTGATTCTCGGCGGATCGGCTTTACTACACACCAGGCGAAATGCGTGACTCTCTGCAGGTGAGCCGCATACGCCGGTTTGTTTATACTGCGTATAACTGATGGCGCCGTTTTTTCTGGTATATTCTGTCCGTCAGCTGGCGTCTGTTCGTGAGGAAGCGTAACATGGGAAGAGTCTGTAACACGGCCTACTATCACACGCTGTCGGACCATGCAGGACAGCGCTGGCGATGCTTCGGTGCTGGTATTCGGTGTTTGATTAACTGAAGTTGTTAAACTTGTTCAGGAATCACGGAAGCCGCTTACATCCTACATCGAGTGATGTGGGCTGAAGTTTGGGATTGGATTGTTTCCGGAAGTCTGCAGTTATTCACGCAATGTTTCTCGGAATGTCAGCTTCGCTAACCAGAATCCACGTCGACTTGACGCGATTTTCGCATTACCAATTTATTAGTGAACACCTAGTTGAAACGATGATACCAAAGACATGTCCTTTTGAAATCGGCCTTTTTTAACGAGTTAATAAAATTCACATCTTAAGAACACGATGGAAGGATGAATGCCAGAATTGCACGACTCATCGCAACGATGGCTGCTTGATTAGAGCTAATTCAAGCCTGAATGCTATAAGTCAACGATATCTGTGCTCAAAAATTGAAATCGTCATCATCTTCGTATTGTTTCTACACTTACAGCCTGTGGCAAAATCCCAAGACCGTTCCAGTTGTTGTTATCCCTGCCGTACTGAAACTGAATGCAACTAAGGCAGTGTGAATTAAAAATTAGTGTAAAAACTTCCACTTCCTGTGCCAAAGGTTAGATGAGAAACCGAACAGTAACCCTACCGGGTGATCTGCCTATCAGGCCGTTTCCATACCCAGACAGACCATCACAGCGGAAATGTACAAAATCTACGGTTAAGCAGTCGTGCAAATAGCTTAATTGTGATGACAATTTCCCTGGTCGGACGTTCTCACGGTTCATCCGATTGGCTTTATGTCACCAGTTCCACGATCACACAGACCAATGTTATACTCAGAGCAACTCAACTGTCTCGGATGGACAAGAAAGACCTCAGTCCTCCACGAAATTCATTTCATGGTCATTACCGAAAGTACAGCATCACTGCTAAGCACTGATGCTTCACTGTCGTGCAACCGTTTTTTGTTTCAAAGCCTTACTTTCAAGAAAATAATAAAAACGGATAAAGAAGGATCTAGTGCCAGCTTGCTGCAGTTATTTCGAGGACTCCACGCATCCGGACACTTATTCAGACAACCTGGATAAATCTGACAAGAACACCACAGACAGTGGTTAGAGTCCGTATCTTGCAGCGTCTCCAGTCGGGCACCCAATCCCAAGGCGTCGTACCGACAGCATCCAGACCTGATTGTCGGGTCAAAGGTTGACCGACTCTCTGCTTGCGCCACTGTGAATTGGGCACGAAGGACAACACTCTTTTCGGCAAGGGCAATACATGACCAAACCACCACAACTTCTGGTACCGGACACTTTCTTTTATTGCACAAGTGAACAACAACAACTGTCTGGTTGTGGATTCGCGGAAACCAGCCTAGACCAGCTATGGTTGTGAGACAACGGTTGTCACCATTACCATTGACTGCAATACACCATTACTTCATACTGGAGCTTAACTGCCATAGCAACGGCTGACGAAGACATGAAGACGTATCAGTTCTGCTTCTCGCAGAGGCGACGCCTCACAGCCATGCAACAAAACAGTCCGTACTGTAACCTGATGCACATGCCCCTTGAGCTGCGAGAATATGCCACTTTGCCTCCACGGGTGTCTGAAATCATCAAGTGCTATTCAAGCCTTAGAGACTCGTTAATTGACCTCATTTATTACTCTACAATCGGAACTCATACAACGTAAAACGCTTCAAAGCCTCGCGTGCTTACTTGGATTTTAAGTGACATGTCCCGGAGCACGATCTCGCACTTTTTGGGGTTCAATGCGCACGGGATGATTGGCATTCGCCCATTCCATATCACTAGCCTTCAATATCCAGTATGCCTCACGGTCGGCGCTTGCGTTAAGGTTCCCCTGACGCCTGAGGATTCATCAAGTTCAACTATGTTCGGGGCCGGCGGAGATGTTGCTCCGAAATTCCAGTACTACTGTCCTGTTTGATGTTGAGTTCTTGAGGGAAGGTGGCGGTGTCTTGAGATAGGTGAAACACCCGGCATTGTGCAAAGATTTGGAGATTTAATTCTAGTGCGAATAGACACAGGACGGTTGAGCAGCTGGAAGGGAGTCCAGAAGATGATTCCGATAAGTTCGATTAGCTTTGGGATTCTCCAGCTTCTCACTTGCTAAGCTAGTTGTCCATCCCATCCGCGGGTTCGTCAAGCGAAGAGCGAAACGACTCCGGACAAGTCCATGCTCAGCATCCACTCAAGTTTTTTTAAAAGGAGCAGTTGTCAACTATTGATTCACACCACCAGTAACAGATGTGATAAGGTCGATTTTGTCCCTGGTGGATAAACTGTTGGGGGACACACCAGAAGATTTCGACTACTTCGAGAGTCTGTGCTGCATAGAAGCAGTGTGCAGCAACACTCAGCTGATGCAGTCCATCGGTGTTTTCTGTACATACCGAGTCCCCGACACTTTACCTGTTCATTGCAAACCCCGGAAGCTACAACGATAGCTGAGCTTCTAGCCCGCTGTAGCAGGGCACCCAATATGTCAATACTTTTCTTTAAAGATCCCAGAACTATAGTTTGTTGGAGCGTTCGCAGGCGTAAGCAATGAACTTCTCGCTTGTGGGACTCCACGGACGTCGCTAGACGAACCGCACAGGGCGGACTATCAATGGCTATCCAACCAAACGAGTATCCTTCTACCCTGTGACATAGTGCGATGTATTTCTAGAGCTTGTCGCAACGAGCGCTCGATTGCCAGAAGTGTTCAGCCCGAGGCGAGATGAAAGGGATGGGGCAGTTAACGACTATATTTGGGACTTCACTTCTTGTTTTCGATACGTAGTATACTTAGTTTCAAACGATCCCAGTGTGCGAGCAAGAACAAGCTGTTGTCGTGCGTGCTTCAGGGTTCGAACGTTAAAAACAGCCAGATAAACCGGGCGGTGAGGCTTGTTAAATTGATTTCGAGATGCCTGAGGCTGTTGGTGCTGGCTGATGTCGTGGCCCATGCTGATGCCAGACGAACGGGGTCGTCAGTTCTAACGGGTGGACTTCATGGGAATTAATTATTAATGGAATGATAGAGAGGGAGGAAAAATTATTTGAAGAAGAAACAAGGGAGGCGTCAACAGTAGCATCTTTTCGTTTACGGTTCTGCGGTATGCAGCAGGTAAGACGACCCTTCTGATAACGCCACACGACAGCTGATGTGGTACGAGATTACTTCTGGTTGTACGCGGACTGGGAGACTGCCTGGATGATGGGAGTCCGCAGTCAAAGTCTTTGGCTCAAAAGCCTAACCGTGAAGCAGTGGTGTTTAGCGGAAAATGTCCGTACCTTAAATTTTTCACCAACTTCCAGGATGGAAGGTAAGCGGACTGTGTTGATAAGACCTCTAACGATGGACCAGTCTGGTTTGAGGGACACTGTGAGTGTCGCACGGACGCTTCAGTGCAGCTCTATTGGTCGTAGGGAAGCACAAACGTCTCGGCGGATATGATATCGCAAAATATTCAAAACGTTTCACACACAAAAAAACCTAGGGACATTTTCTGTAAGCAGCAATTTCAACTGCTCCAAACAAACAAAAAAGACTTACTACGGTTCTTTCGAAACGGCGCAAGCGGCGATAGAGGAGAATGTCTCGCCTCAAATTCAATGACAACTGAGTCAGAGTTGAGTGCACTTCATGTTGTATGTTAAGCAATCAAACTTGCATCATTTCTTAAGTATGAGAAAATGGAGGCCAGCTCATGCGGTCCCAGATCCAAAATCGCCCTTTTGGGCGGAGATTCGGCACCTAGAATCGCCAATTTAGCCATCTTGCTGAGGAACAGAACATCAGTTCCGATGGAATTATTATTGATGTGACATCTACACAGAAGATTAAGTATATTCTGATCCTGTGGGATAAGTGAATTAATGACGCCAAATGGTGTCCATGAATCGCTGGTATGTACTTGCGAGGCTAGGCGGGAAAATAACCTTCCAACAGTTAACGCAGTGGATTTCAGCTCTTGTCTGTCAACCCGCTTTTTTCTGTCTCACTGTGTCAAATTCTCGGTCCGAACTTGATTGAGAACCTCTGAGGTGTACAGTGGGCTAAGTGTACAACAGTACTATAGTCTGATTCTCCAGAGCCGATTTAGTGAGGACGGACAAACATTGACCAAAACGTTCAACTGACTTCCCTTCAAGGCATGTCAATTTGTTTTGCAGTAATATTCGGAGTACCTGAGAGGAATGCAATAGCAGGTGGCCGTATGTTTTTGTCACGTTAATTCTGTGCACTTCGTTCCCCGGTCAGCCGACAAGTACGTTTTTTGCCCATTGTCTAATCGCCACTTGATTGACCAGGAGCGGACGAATCCGGCAATTTCGTTTCAAGGTATACTGCGTGTGATGTGAATAGGATATTATTTTCAGGGTGAGGACTGGATCATCTTGTCGTCCATACAATATTCATATAATATCCATAGACTGCAAGCCAATATCGTTCAGCTGTTGCACCCTTTCGGTGCCTAACTGTCATGTCAGTTACCGGAAGGAAGCACGAGGGTTGGGATACTACTAGGTTGTCCAAGCCTAGACAGGGGAAGTCGAGAGGCAGAGGTCGGATTCGAACCATAGACCTTCCAGTCAGTAAATTCGCGCTCTAGCCACTTGGTCCACCTCGCCCCCCAAGCCATTATATCTGAATGGGATGATGGATCACATGACCTACAGACCTGTACCAATGTATCGAGCCAAAATATATTCCATATATATGTATATATATATATCGTTTCTAC